AAAGAAACGTGACTATCACGGTGAAGACCTGGAAACGATACGTGAGTGGCCGGGCGAGCGGGGTATATAGGCGGCGGCCCGGTCACCTGTCGCGGCAGCGTGCACGGAAAGGCTGGCGCTCCTGCGGTCTGGTCTGTGCTGTCTCCGCGGGCAAATCACGGAGATTCCGCTCGGGATGCCCGCCCTTCCTCTTTCCCCAGCGCTGCACGACCGGGTGCAGGGGAGGTCGGGTCTGAAGTTGGACCCCCTCGGGCACTCAGCTCGGGAGAGGCGTCTGCCCTTCCCCGGCACCTCGCTTCCAGGCTGGGAAGGTGCGGGCCCTCGGGCTCTGGGGGGAAGTGAGGGGGACCCCGTCCTCTGAATGGATGTGACTTACCTGCTGAGTCGCCATGGTGATCAGGAAGCCTCCTAACACTTCTCCCCTTGGGGACAGTTACACCCCCCACCCCCCACCCCTTGCAGGAGCTGTTTCCTGGATTTCTCTATTACTCGGGGACTCCTCCTCTAGGTATTTGCAGTAGTTCAGTAAGTTTACTTAAGGATACCCAGTAGGCAGCTTTTTAAAAAGCACAGGGAAAGTCACTTATTTCCAAGGTTTTGAAGGATGTAAATTTCCCTCTGGGGAGGGGGAGGGTTTGTGTGGGGGGTCCCTTTCTTCGTGCCTCTGTCTCTGCATCTAGGTTTCCATTTCTCAGTTTGTTCCTTGCAGGCCAGGCCGCTGGGAGCCGTGCTGTGGCCCCGGAGGGCAGTCACCACCAGGCCCCCCGGCACCAGCTTGCGGGGTGTGATGGATGTGAAGTGACAGGGCACCTTGCACGTAGCCCTGGCGGTCTCCCAGCCGTGTGCAAGTGGATGTCAACATTGTGCAGTGACAGCCTGGGCGGGTCTCAGCGGCCCCCATTCCATTTCCTCATAGTTTGCTGTCGTGGAAATGAGTATACGAATAAATTGTGAGTAGCCACAGCTAGTGTTTAGCTCCTCTGTCTACAGACTAGGACTGCATTTGTATGAAAGAGTTGTTAGAGGATGCGAATTTCCTGTAAGAATTTACGTGTTCTGTCTCAACAAGGGTTGTGGAAGTATTGTGTTTTCCTGTGATGGGCAAGGTGGTGTTGACCTCCCGAGTTAGAAGTATGTAAGGCTGAGTTAGAGGGATCACATGGAGAGCAAATACTAACACCATGGAGCTTGCAGACATGGGAGCAGAATGGAAAGCCAGGATTGCCTCCTGTGCCTGAGAAATGAGAATATAATGTACTTGCTACTATATATTTTAAAACAGTGACTTTTTCATTTTGAAAAGGCATGTATATCGTATTGAACATTCTAGTTTTCATATTGAGGTATAAGAGTGGCAGTTTGGTGACTCACATTTTTTTTCTCACCAAAACTCTAATAGAAAAAAAATGTTTTTAAACCCATAAAAGGATACTTGGTACATGATACTGTTTTACATTGAACCATCCAACACTGATGCTGAGATCCAAGTAATGAAAAACCAGCAGAGACGGCAGCCTTCCTCGAGGCCGATTTCAGCCCTCTCACGAGATGGTGTATAGGTCAGGGTGACAGGCAGGTTTCTTCTTGGTTTTTCTGCAGATTCACTGAGGATTAGAATTCAGGAATGTTTATTGAGTGCCTACCTTGTGCATGGCTAAGCTAGGACATTGTTCTTCATCTCTCTCACTGAATTGGAAATATCAATTATAGTCTTTCCTGTTCCCTTCTGTGGATGAGAAAAGATTGAAAATGGATTGAGTGGCCCAATATGTACATGATTTGATTCATCAAGTGCATTAAAGATTGGTTAAAACTTCTATTAAAATGCTTTGATTTAGTTATTGCATTGGTTCCTATTTAAGATTCGTGAAGCAGTTTCAATATTACCAAAAGCTTTATTGAAATTATATATTTGTCCTTGGTGAAGCTGCAGGGACTATGCAATTAAAATTCAAATGCTCATAGTAGTGTTGTTTACAATAGCTAAGATCTGGAAACAGCCCAAGTGCCTATCAGTAGATGAGTGTATAAAAAAATTGGTACATTTACACGATGGAATACTATGCACCTGTAATAAAGAAGGATCTCTTACTCTTTGAGACAGCATGGAGGGACCTGGAGAGTATTGTGCTAAGAGAAATAAGCCAGTCAGAAAGACAGGTGTCACATGACCTCACTTATAAGTGGAATCTAATGAACAAAATAAACTGACTAACAAAATAGATCCAGAGACTTGGAACAGACTGAGGAATCTCAGAGGTAAGGGGAAAGAGATTAACCAAAGAACTTAAATGCATACTAGAGGCCTCATGCATGAAAATTGGTGCAAGAATAGGCCTTCCTTCCCCCAGCTGCCAGCACCGGCTTCTCTCCTGCACCAGCTTCCCTCCAGCACCCGGGATCCGGGCTTCCCTCCTCTGGCCGCCAGCAGGCACCTGGGACCCCAGCTGGCTTCCCTTGGGCCACCCACAGGCACCCAGGACCCGGGCTGGCTTCCCTCTGGCCCCGTCTTCATCAGGAATGATGTCCAGAAGTCATCCGGTCTAATTAGCATATTACTCTTTTATTATTATAGATATGCGTAACCTATGGACACAGACAATAGGGAGAAGTTGGGGTGGAGAGGGTCAAAGGAGGGCATCTGTAATACTTTGAACAATAAAGATAAATTTAAAAAAATAAAATGTCAAATTTCTTTTAATTTTAACATACTAAATATAATGTTTTGTGATAAGATCTACATAAGCTAAAATTTACCATCTTAATCCTTTTTAAAAAATCTTTACCCAAGAACATGCTTAGAGAGATGGAGAGAAAGAGAGAGAAGGGGAAACATTGATGTGAGAGAGAAACATTAATCATTTGCTTGTCTACCCTGACCGGAAATCAAACCTGGGACCTCGTGGTTTATGGATCAGTGCCCAGCCACTGAGACACCACTGGTTGGGTCTCACTGGAATTTATAGATATATTTGTTTAATTAAAATGAGAAAACAAATTATTACTTAATGTAGTTCCTTTTTAAGATATAGAATCCATGAGGGATAAAACTAATATGTACATTATGTTCTGTTGGGCCCTATCTTTTCCTTCCACGTAGGTAGTGATATCTTTTTGAAATGTGTGGCTCATGCAGATGACATTTTTGTTTCCCAGCTAATGTGATAATGGTATCTATTTTGCTGTATGGAAGAGTATATAGGACTCACCCTTAGGTATAATATAGATTGTATAGGAAGGGTGGGAATAATGCCTAATTATTTCCCTTTATTTACCACTTCCCCAAATCGTAAGTTAGTTCCCTAGTATCCTCCTATGGTGATGGGTGAGAATTTTTCCCTTTTTCTGTATATTTATCTTTATAACTCTTATTAGAGACCTTCTGGGGGGGTGTCCCTCAGCCTGGCCTGTGCTCTCTTGCAGTCGCGGACCCCTCGGGGGATCTCCTGGGGATCAGGCCTAAGCCAGCAGGCAGACATCCCTCTCACAGTTTGGGACCCCTCGCTCCTTACCGCCCACCTGCAGCGGAGGCAGGTGAGGCTTCTGCCACTGCGCGTGAGCCTGGCTTCTGGCTGAGCAGCGCTCCCTGGGTTGAGCATCTGCCCCCTGGTGGTCAGTGTGCATCATAGCGACCAGTTGTTCCACTCTTCAGTCAATTTGCATATTAGGGTTTTATTATATAGCATAGGATTAGTATATGTGTTTCAGTCCATTTCAGTTATTGTCCCCTTTGTTTTCTTAAATTTACTTTTTTTTAGAAGGGAGAGAGAAAGAAAAATTGATTTGTTTGGCTTATTTATGCATTCATTGGTTGCTTCTTGTTTGTGCCCTGATTGGAAATTGAACCCGCAACTTTGATACATCTAAATGATGCTCTAAGCAACCCGGCCAGGGCTCAGTTATTGTCCGTTTGATGCTCAAATTGCCCTATCTTTGGGTATATAGGCTTATTCGGGTTGGTTCCAAGTCCTTATGGCAGGGTTCTAGTAATCTGTGGTAGCTTACTTGCTTTCTGGTATGACAAGATGATTCAGGCTCATCCTGTACTCTCCCTGTTCCAGATTTAGAGTCAGAACAGATCAGTTTGTAAAAGGAAAAATACATGACCAATAAACATATTAAAATAGCCAATTTTGCCCAGGCAGTGTGGCTCAGTGGTTGAGTGTCTACTTATGAACCCAGGAGCTCATAGTTCGATTCCAGGTCAGGGCACATGCCCAGGTTGTGGGCTCGATCCCCAGTCGGGAGCGTGCAGGAGGCAGCCAATTGATGTTTGTCATCGATGTTTCTGTCTCTCTATCCCTCTCCTTTCCTCTCTCTAAAATCAATAAAAACATTAAAAAAAATAAGTTAACTTATGAATTAATTTTCTGATATCTGAATAATGAAATAAATACTGTAATATTTAAAATGCTTGGAATAAAACACAACTTCTCTTAGTAAAAGATAGAAAGCTTACAGTTTTCTTATGTTATTCCAATAGTAATAATTTTTAATACTGTGGTAGAAGTGAGAATACAAGTGGCACACATAGTGTTTTGTCTCCTTACCCAGCTTTGATTCTAAGGGACTTGGGAATAAATTAGGTAGTGTAGGATTGGGGTGCTGCCCAGAATCTATACATTACAGCTTACTAGAGCATCAATTCCCAACCTTTTTGGATTTAAGGCATCCTATTTGTGTTTGATTTTGTATCTCCCTCCTTACCATTCTAACGGCTACTCTGTTATCAGTGGAGAGCAAAGTGCTGAGATATGAAGTATACAAATAATTGCCATAATTAAATTTTACATAATTATGTCAACCTTTAATTTTAACTGATCACTACCAAACCTTTTCTGGACAAGCTGCACAAATGCATTACTATATGGTATATATTTATTTATGGTTTTGACCAGTTAAAATTCATGTTTTGAAAAATTTTGTGCAGTATAGTGAATCGGATTTGTATCTTATGTATGTTTATGTGCAAAAAATGTGATGGGTAAATATTAAGTACCATTGTAGGTCCCTCCTAGGTAGGCTAAAAATGCTTCTCTTTACAGAGGTAGATAATAGAAGCAGCAGTGTTTATAAGGTGCTTTGAAATCAGTCTTCTATGAATTTATTGTAAACTAGAGGCCTGATGCATGAAATTCTGCAAGACTAGGCCTTCCTTCCCCTGGCTGCTGGCATTGGCTTCCCTCTGGCACCTAGGACCCGGGCTTCCCTTTCAGCCTTGGCTT